GAACTAGAAATAAAATGAACCAATAACTGGTAGTCTTATAAGTGAACTAGAAACAAAATGAACCAATAAATGGTAGTCTTATAAGTGAAATAGAAACAAAATGAACCAATAACTGGTAGTCTTATAAGTGAACAAGAAACAAAATGAACCAATAACTGGTAGTCTTATAAGTAAATTAGAAACAAAATGAACCAATAACTTGTAGTCTTATAAGTGAACTAGAAACAAAATGAACCATTGAATAACTGGTAGTCTTATAAGTGAACTAGAAATAAAATGAACCAATAACTGGTAGTCTTATAAGTGAACTAGAAACAAAATGAACCAATAACTTTTAGTCTTATAAGTGAACTAGAAACAAAATGAACCATTGAATAACTGGTAGTCTTATAAGTGAACTAGAAATAAAATGAACCAATAACTGGTAGTCTTATAAGTGAACTAGAAACAAAATGAACCAATAACTGGTAGTCTTATAAGTGAACTAGAAACAAAATGAACCATTGAATAACTGGTAGTCTCATATATAGATATATTTATATAATACTGCAATTCTACTGTAATTCAAATAACTCAGACAAATACAGTATACAAACTCAGTATCATAAGGTAATTGTTGCTTTCTCTACAGGATATCTTCTCCTGATTACCCCTGTTTAGCAAGCTATCCATAATGAGGGGTGATAAATCAGGTCTATGGTGATAAAATGTCGGATTTTACACGAATTTTTATGTAATTAAACATCTGTATGATATAAAAAATGAGGTATTGAATCAATAAGAATATTTTCTTGTTTCAAGTACTGCTTCTAAGAAAAAATAGACCCAATTTTCTCTTGGATAATCATTTTTTTGGAGGGTGAAATCCATTCAGATCTAAAGGAGATAGAATTTTTTTCAGGGAAAATACAATACATTAAACTTGTTATGTTTACAAAATCCATTAGAATAATTTAGTGATAACAAAAAACTGACTAAAACACTAAACTTTAATTTTGTCTGCATAAAAATTAAAGAGATAATGCTATAGAAAGTCTTTTTTTGCCAAATAAATCTAGGAATATTTCAAAGTACCACTTACGAGATTCAATACACAATATTTGATTGGTTTTAAGCATCATTTAGTGTTTTAAGTCATATGTCAATTTAGAAGCCTTTGTTTCAATTGTTCGAACCGATGACCCCTGGATTACATTTATCTGATGCTCTTCCTTTTGAGTCAACCGGGTGGGCAAGCAGTTTCAGGATTTTGTATGTTTGGTTCAGTTTTACATGCACCAACACAATCTTAAGGTCATTATATAATGGTACCGAAACAGGAAAGATGTTTTTGGCTAACCTCTGGACTTAAAGCAACACCATGGGTCGAAACCACCTTACCTGCTGGAGCTAAGAGATGCAGAGAGTGCATAGAAGTAAATCGAAACCCATTTAGTCACCTCTTACGATCACACAGGGGATAAACGGCGGCTGCAATTCTGATGCCTTAACCCTTAATTAAATGCAACCCCTCAGTTAAGGGATTTAATACTAAAATGTGAAAGTTTAACCAATCAACACAGTAAAGAATGTTAATAGAACACTAAACATATGTAAAGGATACTTATTGTTGCAGCTAGGTTTTAAATTAAGGCTTATTACCCCTTGCTTTGCTAAATATCTTAAATGGATTTGTCTATTTTCCATCTGGACAAAACCATTCATAAGTTTTTTTTAAGGAAAATTTCAAAATATGTAAATAATAATTTAGTAAATAGCATACAAAGCAGACCATGATAATATGGCATGGATCACTGTGCTGGCTGATATTGGTCTGCACTGGTTGCATGGGTAGAATCAGTTGCTGCTTTATTAGCAGGCTAAGTGTTAAAGAACTGATTGGAATTTGAAAATAAGCAATCTTGAAGTTGCCACAGGAAGGCCAAGTATTTAATCATTCTTCAATGAGCCAGACGGCTTTAAAAACAAAATCACCACACTGACAATGTAAAGGGAAATGAAAATAACACCAGCTGCATAAACATAATAATCATGGTAATATATGAGATAATCTGTATACTTTCTAACAGGTTTACTGCTGATTTCTATCAAAATTTCATAAAGTACAAGCACCGTGATGCAATTTAGTATTGCTGCCAGATAATACAACGAACAAACAAAAAATACTCCACTTCGCAAAAATAAGTCTGCACAAACAATTTAAGATAATTATTCTGATTCTGCTATTTTTTCTTTAATTATTCTTTACTAACTTCTTAAGCACCAATTTGAAAAATTTTTTTATGATCATCGAACAGTTCTGAGAGAGGTATTTTTTGGGGGGATTTTTTTTTTTTTTTTTTTTTTTTGGGGGGGGGCATGTTTTATTTCAAGCATTCTTTAAACACTATCTATCGGTATCTAGGACAAGAGAAAATAAATTAAAGCAAGATGATAATAAAAGATAATTTTTAAGTATGTTATCTGCAGAGATAACAAGTGTGCCAACTCCGGAACAGTAACAAGTTAACAGTGATTAGGCCTGCTATTACTGTCTTAAATCAGTGTAAAATGAGACTTCATGCAAATATGATGGAAATTTGAGATTTTTGTAGTCATCTTTTACATCTTTACACAACTTTAAAAATTGATAGATCCCTACTGCTTACTATACCAATAGATGTAAGTTCATGTAACCACAAACATCAACATGCGTTCTTTTATTTATAAATATGTTGTGGTGAAATTCTTATTGAATCCACTAATCTGATAGTTAAAATTAGACAGGTCAGTGATCTATGTATTGTAGGTAAGCAGATTTTTTTAATAAAACATATTAATACAAAAATATGAAAAATGTGACTTAAAGGCCCATTAAGCCTAAAAATCCTATATTTTGTATTGTTCAAAAACTCTTACAGTCCTGTTACAGTTTCCAAAACAATACACATTGGCCATATAACTGAGCTTTCTTTTGCTACATCTGCATCTTGGTGATAAGTACAGAACTGTTATAAAGAATTATTATTCTGTATGGAAGAGAAAATACTTTTATCGATACATTTTGATACTCTTATCAGGACTAGGCAATTTTCTTCAGGTGATAAGTAAGGCTCCTTTGATCTTTCAAAAGAGCGAAATTGGGACACAATGCAGAAAATGTGTGCCTACACAATCGTGATGAGCCCTGGACATTATTTATTTGTATATGTATTAAAAATAGAAAGTATGTCATCATTTGCCGACTCGAATACATGGTGTAGTATAGTACATAGAAGTACCACTGTTTAAACGGTATCGTTTCAGTTCTTAGCAATCGTGTAAACGTTTACAGAAAATTGTAAACGTGGGAGCCTTAGTGATAAGCATTTCACATGATCTTGATCTATTATTACAATATTTCATACATGTATGCCCTTTCGGAACAGTGAAAACTTGATTCATTTCTGACGCATAATGCGCCTTTAACACGTAAATAATGCTCTAAATTATTTATTAAAATTACAATCATATTTAGCTTAAACTCTCATCAGTGTTCTAATAGAAATATGGATAAATTCATTATAGCAAAGGGAAATAACTCTTGATGTAAAATCAAGGGAGATAACTTAAATATTACATCAAGGGAGATAATTTACAACATACTATAAATATTTACATTTTGCTAGTTATTTGATGGAGTTTAAATGATAATATATAGGTTTGAAAAATTATTTACATCTACAAAATGCTTTTCAAAAACACTAGTTCTTAGAAATTATACAAGAGCATAAAAATAGATTACAATCAAATGGGAGAGAATAAGTATTCATACAGTGCTAACTTATAAAATAACAAAACAATAACATAATTATTAATTAATTAATTATACGGTAAATTTCGCTTGTAACAATATCCAGGGGACTGCCTGATTTATATCACTATATCCGGATACCATTATATCTGAGAGGCAACGTATTCAAAAACAAGAGTCGAGACCACAGCAACAGCATTGTTATAAGCAGTAAGTTTGTTGTTAGCGATATGGTTATACATAAGTGGTGTTTACTGTATATATATACATTTGTGTATATCTTTTTTTTTTGTACCCTTACATATCAGAGGATATTTAACAGCTAGAAACACAACTAAAAATTCTGATGATGAAAATGATTTGGCTTAAAGTGCGATAATGAAATGATTCTAGAGAAGATGTTGATAAAGATGACAACAATATCAATACTAAAGCAGTCAGTCACCACTTAGAATCCGGGTCAGCTCGGCCCTAAAACGTACTCGGCCCCCGAGTCAGCTCGGCCCGATTCCAACTCGGCACGGGTCAACTCGGCCCACTTTTTAATTATTAATATTTAGGTTTGTGTTATCACTTTTTATAGTCATTATTGTAATTATTGATAAAACACAGATTGACAGTTTTAGAACTACATGTAGCAGCAGACAGGCTTTTCTTATCAATAGAATTGCGAGTAAAGATAATCGATGCGTATCTCACTGTTTTTCTGACACGTGGTAGGTTTAACCAGGTACGTATATAAATGTACCTGCCTTAATTTAAATACCTTCAGTGTCAAACAATGTGTTGAAATATATACTGAGAGGAAGCTAAGATCACCAGCTTTTATAATTAGCGTAACAAATTTTAAAATCGGACATTTAATCGCACCAAACTAGCGATTTAAACACGGCTGAATTTGCATTCTTTTGCATTCAAAGGGAAACTAAGGGAAACAAGTCTTGCTTTTTCACTCAATATACCTCGGACCTTATTTACGTAGTTTGACAGAGAGAGTTTATAAATATGAGACAGATAACTAAAAAAAAATCTAAATATACTTTATTTCGACCTAAGTACAATGTATAATTATATAATAATAAGATATTTCTTATTATTCTTTTACCTCAACAACATGCAAAGCAAAGTTAATACGTTATATATATATTTGTAAAGTGGGCCGAGTTGACCCGTGCCGAGTTGACCCGTGCCGAGTTGGTATAGGGCCGAGTTGACTCTTTTCCACCACTTACCTTGGCCCATTAATCTCTTCCTTTACATGCTTGTTTAGATGGAGACTGTCATGTACAAGTTTTTCAATGCTGGGATCCGTATTTGTAAGGTGACAATCTATTTGCTCATCAGCCTAAAATATATAGGATAAGAAATGGGATAAATATCTTCTTAGCTAAATTGTGTTTTTTTCGGGTTTTTCTTTAAAAAAAAAAAAGGTTGTAAGGCAACATTTCAGTTATACTGGTGGAGGAAAACATTTAAACATTTAGGAGACCTTCTATGCATTATTGTAGACACAAACAGGCACCTGAGTAGAACCACCATCATTATTCAAGCAAATTGGATAGATTCCTCACATAAACAAGTTTAAGGTGCCTAGAAACGAAAGATTCAAACCAACAGCAGTGAAAACCAAGTGAATTGAAATTAGAAACCTTATCTACAGCATTTAATTACCAACGAATAAACATAGTTTTACTGATTGATTCTGTGACCTTATTTTTTTTTCTTTGCTTATGGTTGTGCTTTAAGTTGCACCAACACAGTATACTGTATAGTGACTTTCCAGCTTTAATGTTGAAGGAAGACCTCAGGTGCATTATTTCAGGCATGAACTGGCATCTGATAGAACCACACACATTCTCTAAGCTTGCTGAATAGCTTCCTCACATGAGAGAATCCAAAAACCCTGTCAGGATTTGAACCTACAGCAGTGAGGAGCAATGGTTTGAAGTCAGTGACCTTAACTACTCGAACATGGATGCCCTGTGACTTTATTTGGTGACTATACATGCTAAGGCATTTTTCTCTTCCAAAAAAAAGATTTAATATTAGTAGTATTATTATTATTAGTAGTATTAAATAATATTTTGTCAATACTTTTCTGTTACAATGTATTTTTCTACTTTTAAAGCCTCTACTGCTTGCAAACCCTGTCTAGCAGTATGGGAGTCTTGTACTGCAAGACCTAACGCTTTTTTCCCCAAATCCCATGCTTAATATTATCACTTAATAAGCTAAGCCATTCAAGAATCATATAAAGATTGTGTGTTAGCAATGTTGGCTACATAAAAACAACAATTCATGTAACATTTCAGGATTTTATGAGTATAAAAGCACCCTGTAAAATACACTGTAAAATACCAAAGAAGGCATGCATGTGAGACAAAGGGTCACAAAGCCTTAATAGAAAACATTGCAGAAAATAGAATTAACCACTATCATTCTCAACCCATAGCCTGCTGGCTGCAACTGAATCAAACCATGTGACCATTGCAAACCAAAATCAGTCAACACATATGTGCCTTCAGATCATGGTCTCTACTGTTCACTTTTCCAGTCTTAAAATTTTCCCTAAAAATGATAAATGTTTTTATATACCAAGTTTGATTACAAGGGTGTCCAAAAACAATCCCAATTGGAGTCTTAAAAGGACTGCACTGAGGTTTAAAAACCTAAAAACATAACATTTGCATTTCTTACATAGATAAGCTGGGGCACTTTAAACAGAAATATATGCAAAGATAGTTAAGAAATATACTTTAAAAAAAAATTGAAAATCGTATTTTTATGATTTTCTTAGCCCAATTTGAGTGAAAAGCGTTTAAACGTTTTTTCATTTTAGGCCATTTTTTACAATATGAATAATTATTCTGGAAAAAAGAAGTCCGCGAATGATCTGAAATTTTGTACAAAAATTGGTGGTCTAAACCTACAACAAATGGTACATTTATCTGGAAAAAATATTTTCAGTCCCATCATGTCAAAAAACCTCAGTGGAGTCTCTTTAATATAAGCTTGTTATATACATGTACCAAGTTTGATTACAATATATCATCCCAAACTCTAGTCATTGTCCAGAAATCATTTCTCTATCTTTAGTAACAGTGACATTGACCTTGACCTAAGGGGGTCCAAAAGGAATCTCAACTGGGTTCTTCATATAAGCTTGCTATATACCAAGTTTGACTAAAATATCTCATCCCTAACTGTAGTTATTGTCCGGAAATTATTTTTTTATTTTTAGTAAACCGGACCTTGACCAAAGAGGGTTCAAAAGGTAACCCAACCAGGGTCTTCATATAAGCTTGCTACATACTAAGTTTGATTACAATATCTCATTTCCTAAATGTAGTTATTGTCCAGAAACTATTTTTCTATTTTTAGTAACAGTCACCTTGACCCAAGGCAGTCCAAAAGCAATCCCAACAGGGGTTTTCACATAACGTAGCTATATACCAAGTTTGATTATAATAACTCATTCCAAACTCTAGTTATCATCCATAAACCATGAAAAGGACCAACTGAAAGACAAACTGACTTCAATATAATAATACCCCCTAAACTTTGTATGTGGGCCAGGGGTATAGTAATTCCTTGCTGAAAAGAGCAATTTTTATTACAAAACTGGTTAATATTCATAACAGGTAAGCAGCGAACAAAATAAAGATATATAAATTCAGCACCACTTTACACTAATGAATATAATGTTTAATTAGTCTATAAAATTAATTTCTTACTTTAGGCAATAGGATAATGTAGCTCTTATTTAAGGATAAGTAATTTCAGAAACATTCACCTATTAATTCATTACAGAATATAAAAGTAATTTCTGAAAGATTTGCCTATTAATTCATTACGGAGTATAAACAAAATTCCGCAATGATACAATTTTCACGAATTAACAAGTTTCTGTAAAGTCCCACCTGGAAATTCTTCACGGGGAGCAAAAAAGAGTATCGGAAAAAAAGAAAGGCATTCCAATAGGTAGAGACCTAAAAAAAACATTTATTTGGTTGCAAACAATTTTGCCAAATGTAAACAATTAGAGAACGACTCTAATAATTTGCCATCGGCAAACGTTATTACATCATGTGGATTTTATTTTGTCTGAAGTGCCGTATTTTCTTTTAATTTTCTCATTCTGACACGATCGAATGGCAACAACAACAACAAGACAAGATGGAAACATTCGCCTAAAATTGCTCCAAATGAGATTTGCAGCTTAAACGTGGCTTAGTTAAATTTGGTGAAGATTCAAGAAGGATTGGACATTAATTGAAGAAAATCACAAACAAAATATTCATTTGCATACACAGTACATCTAGTGTGTGTGAAAAAAAAATTGATTATTCTATTAATTATTCTATTTTGGAATGGCCCATTATCAAGTTATTAACCCTTCAACTGCCAAATGAACTTGTCCATCTTCTATTTTGGAATGGTCCATTATCAAATTAAGGGATATCAAGATGAATAATACCTGAATGGACTTGTCCATCTTCTATTTAGGGCTTGTCCAATTTCTATTTTTGGACTTGTCCAACTTCTATTTTGGAACGGTCCATTATCAAGTTAACATAAGAAATCTTAATTTAAAGACTTACAAAGTTCATAATACAGTATAAATTACAACAAAATTTGTCACTGATATGACAGATCTTATTTGTGTAGGACTGGTACAGTCCCAATATCAGTATCCAAAAACTACAGTTCAGCAGTCAACGGAATAGAGTCTGGATATCAGAGTGCCATTTTTGTGAAAATACAGCAAAACTCAACCAATCATAACGGTTCAACATGTATTTGAAAAGCAGATTTGCTCAACATAAATCCTGGAAAATTTGAACCACCTTCAAACAGCCAAATTTTTTTAATGAAAGAAACTTGGATTGCCTTTTCCTCAGTAGGAGCTTTAGTATTGAATAGAATCCTTTGAAAAATCAAGATTGTTTGTTTGTTTGTTTCATTTTACGCCTTTTCCCAACAGTATTTCAGTCATATAGGCGGGTAGTTTCCTAACCATCATTCCTGGAGAGTTACACAAGTACTAGACTACCTTCCCCCGCACTTAACTACCAAAGCATCTCCCGGGGATCAAACCCACGCCAGAGAGGTAACTGGATTAGAAGTCATCGACTCTAACCCCTCGACCACGGAGGCGGTTGAAAAATCAAGAAAGGAGATCAACAAACAGGAGCTGTCAGATAGAAAGCTTGATGAACTAGATTGTATTCTCAGGGTTTGAAATTAAATCAAAATCAATGCAGAAATATACAATGTAATGTATGTGTTAACAAAGTGGAAAAAAATCAGTGAAATTCAATTCAAGAGTTATGGTTCTTGGTCAGACACCTATAATCAAGACAAAAAGACATGCCTGAGGTTTAAAATACTATTTGTTTTGTTTTGATTGGTTCTACAGCGCACCAACTCAGTTTAGGTCATATGGCCCCAAAATAGGAAAGTAATTTGGCTAACCTCACCTGCTGGAGCTATGAGATGCATAGACTTCAGTAATTCGAGCCCGTATAGTTGCCTCTTACGATCACACAAGGGTAAACGATGGCTGCAATTCTGATGCCTCAACCCTTAAAGGCAACCCCTCAGCCACAAGGGGGAGGTTTTAAATAAACACCTCAGGTACTTGTGGAGAAAGAACTTGCTAGGCAACTTTAACAAGGAATTTCTTCGTAACTATCATAAAGGGGTATAATTAAGTAAAAATCCATGCTAGAGTTATGTGTCTTGTGTGGGGATATACATGCATAACTAACTGTTCACAAAGATATACCAGTATGTGCTGTTTCAAGCGAATAATTGTTTCAAGTGAATAACTTTAGAAGTTTACAAGACAGGAGCTTGCAGGGACTTTGGATTTTTAATGTAACGAAACAATCCAGCTTTCTTACTTCTACTCAGGTGCCTGTTTGTGCTTGATTTGATGCATGGAGGGGCATCTGAGGTGTTACTCAACTAAGAGTTCTGGAAAGTCATTGTATCATCACCTTAGTGTAGTAACGAATTAACTTCTTATATAACATAATAGGAGTTAGACTGTTACTGCACTAAGGTAACGATATGACCTTAACAGTATCTGTGCAACTAAAAATCCAACAAAACATACAGAACAAAGTTAACTGTCATGGCTAACTTATACATGTACATGTATAACATATGAAATTCATACATATGCTTTTATGCATTAAAGGGACTCCACTGAGGTTTTTGACATGATGGGACTGAAAATATTTTTTCCAGATAATTGTACCATTTGATGTAGGTTTAGACCACTAATCTTTGTGCAAAATTTCAGATCATTTGCGCACACCGTTTTTCCAGAATAATTATTCAAATAGTAAAAAACTGACCTAAACTGACAAGCGTTTAAACGCTTTTCACTCAAATTAGGCTAAGAAAATCATAAAAGTACCATTTTCAATCTATTTCAAAGTATATTTCTTAACTATCTTTGCATATATTACTGTTTAAAGTGCCCCATCTCATTTATGTAAGAAATTCAAATTTTATGTCTTTAGACTTTTAAACCTCAGTGGAGTCCCTTTAATATTTGCAGAAAAAAAGGTATTCATACCATGTATTGATTTAACTAGTTTTTCTACAAGAATTTCTAAGAACATCTGCTTCAATGTGTATGAGAACTGATCAGTGACAAGATACTGAATTGCTTAATGGACTGCAATATCTTAATTGTTTAATCAAGGTCAACATCAAGGCATGAAAGAAATTTTTTCAACGCACATCAGTACATTTAAGCAATTCTGTAATCCATAACTTGATTAGGATAGCTAGAAAAAAAAGCTAGAAAGTAAAAAGCCTATATATCTTTTATCTTATTATTTATCTTTTATTGCAAGTTTTCATATTTTTCAATTTTGACTTTCTTTAATTTCAAAGAATCCTTAATCCTTAATGTTCTTTGCAGATAAACTGAAAATCTACCTCCAGAAATTTTTTAATATTGTTGTATCAAAGAAGTAAAAGGGAGATTACCTGTATCCAGACTTCCTTGTTGAGGTAGGAGAAAGGTTCAGGAGGGTTATCTCCCTTTAATGATGGTAGCACACTGAAGTCAATGGTGTTTTTGTCCAATCTAGGAGGAGTTCCTGTAAGTTAAATAAGAAAACAATAAGGCATGATTATAATCAATTTTAAAGTAAATATCACAGGCTAGAAATAAAACATCACATGGAACGTAAAACTATATATAAGCTTTGTACATGTATTTTTTCAATTGTGACTTTTGTTTTAAATGTTGAGTTAAGTCTAACTCAATCCTTAACTTGATGAATTTGTGTGATGAATATTCTTTCCTTTAAATCTATTCTATGGATTTCAATGGATTTCAATGATGAAATGCAAAAACAGGCTACCAACAGTATAGACCCGATGAGACTATGAATGTGCTTTTGGCTTGGCTCTATACTGTGACAAAGGCCAATCAATTTCTGTTTCCAGGTTAATGTACTTGAGTAAAAAAAAATCAAAAATTGCTTTTCTTAGTATGCTGACCAGTGAATATTATAGATAATTTTATTACACCATCTTGCCTCTTTTTCATATTCATAGTCCAAAAATTTCATATCAAATTTCTACTGTACTTAGTATAGTCTAGTGCTCATTAATTTTGTATTTTCAGGTTCATAACATCCATATCAAACCCATATCATACTCAAAATATCAAAGTTTCTGTCAAAAAGACAAAGTGACCTAGTGCTTAACGCATCAGACTAATGCTATCTTTGTGGCTTCAGCTCCAAATAGGGGCAAGCTATTTTTTGCGTGAGCCTGAAACTTTACACTGATTGCACAATGCATATCATGTATGATAAACTCATTGTATAAACTGCACATATTCCATTCACAAATAGGATTTGACGGAAAGAAAATTATTACTGTTAAAACACTGACTTACTGACCCAGAATGATGTTGCTGATGTCACAGCATTATTCTTGATTATATAATAGTTTGAATACAAGATGGTGTATACTTATGTAATTAAAGAGTCATTCAGAGTATTTTGACCTGTACTAGTATTTGACCTTGAAGGTTTTTATTAAGAGAGTTTCTGTCTCTCATGAGACAATGACTTTAAATAAAGAAAAACTTGTCAGAATGTATAATTAAGGAATTTTCAAACCTGTTTTCAGTCGCCCTACAGTAAAACCGACGTCTTCAAGACTTTTTGCCAGACCCACAGCTGGAGCGTCTCCCATGCGTCCCGCCGGGGTCACCGATAAACCGATATTGATACAGCCTCGTAGAAATGTTCCGGTTGTCAAGACAACTGTCTTACTGTAAACCATCTCTCCAGATTCTTCAAAAAATAAACATCAAATTCAGTATTCAGATTAAATTGAATTCAAGAAAATAATTTCACAATGACACCCATTCACAATTTCTTAGGCAAATGAGTTTTCCATTTATTTTCTACATGGAAGTAAATAATATGATAATTTTTAACAAGAACTGATATGTGTTTGATATGTTAGTTTTAACATTTTAATACAAGAGAATAATTCTAATTCTGTAAAGGATGCATTCCAGTTGGTGGCACCAATCCGATTGAAATCAGCTCTTAAATAACGCTACGCATCAGGATCTGATGATCAGCAATAGGTTGTCACCTTCTTCTGAATTTTCAAACAGCCAATCATCAGCGAACTTTCACAATTTTGAAAACAATGTGGTTTCTAATTCTAACCGCTGGAAAACAAATAAATTTTCACATTTTCGAGAACAAACATGGCCTTCTCCATATGGCCTGCAGGTAAACTGGCAAAACAATATTGCCCAATAGAAAATGAGTCTACTGTTTCCAGTTAACTTGTTTTCAAATACTTCAAACAATTTTTTTTCAACAAAAATCAACAATTTGTTTTACTTCCACAGGCAACTAAATTTTGATATTTTGTCTAATGCCTATCTGTAAAAACTGATTTGATTGCATGGTTAAAAATAGCTTTCTCGGGAAATCTGATTCATTATAAAGGTGAAACATATACTGTGGTCATCAGATCTACATGTAAGAAATAAGCAGATCTGAACTTTAGTCAGGTTGCTGGTGGCACAAGACCTCTGGTGCCCCTATGTGCATTATTTCAGGTACATGCAGGAACCTGTGAGTATCACCACCGTCTTTCATTGGTTCAAACACTATTTGGGTCACAATGATATTTCCTAATAATACATGTACTACACCAGTATTGGATTGTGTTGAGTGCTCCATATAAGCTAAACGGTTACATAATGACCGAGCTAAAATAAATAATGTTTGAACTTATACTATAATAAGTTAATAAGTCAGCAAATTTATATTATATTAATAAATATGTAAATCTACTTGCACTGAATCAATCTGAAAATAACACATTTATGAGAAACTTTCTACAAACTGTTCAATCACCACTTGTGCATGATTTTTTTATTTTCCATCATCAAAGGACACATCATAAACGTTATAAGTTACATATCAGTATAGGTCCATTTGTTTGTTATAATTCTTTGCCTACCAATCTCTTGTCCTGCTTTGTTATCATATATCAACAAAAAAATCTACATAAAAGCTTCCTAGTACATACCTAAAATCACTCCTTTACACATTTTTTTATTTACAGAATGACTGTCAATGGGAGAAGATTCCAGTAAAAGATCTTCTACCGGCGATTCTTTTACAGTTAAATTGTCCATATTTAAAACCATCTCTTGCATGTGTTGTTTATATAATTTTCTGTCAACCTGAGCTCTGGGTCCCTTGGAAAAAAATAAACAAATTTAGAATGTCCAACTCCATATGAGTACAATGTATATGCAATTAAATTAATACTGAAGCTGCATGAAGCCAGTTTTACTTAATTTGTGTAATTATGTCTTAATTTAATCATGGCTTATTGTAAAAAAAAATTTTTTGAAAAAAGTCAATGTATAGTACTGAAAATAAAAATTTGAATGTTGCCCATTAGAAAAAGAAGGCTTATGGACTTGCTATTTTCATTTATGTTTTAAATGAACAATGTAACAAAACACAGGTAGCTCAAATATTTGTTTAAAATAAAGGTAACTTAAATGATTGCACAAATGATTGCTTTTTAAACATGTAGGAATAATGTCAAATGTTGGCTTTACAAAGGGACAAATCAAATGTTGGCTTTACAAAGAGAAAAGTCTAATGTTGGCTTTACAAATGAATAAGACAAATGCTGGCTTAGCCTGGGTTCCAGTCTGTCGATTTTTTTTATGTGCTTCTGTTCGGCAAATCGACACTATCAAAACCAGAGATGTTGTGTTATCTATGACGATCGAGTATGAAATAGCGCGTAAGTTATGAATAAGCAAAAAAAAATATCAACGCCTGAATCCCAGGCTAATGCTGGCTTTACAAAGAGATAAGTCAAATGTTGGCTTTACAAAGGGATAAGATAAATGCTGACTTTGGAAATGGATAAGACAAATGATTGCTTTACATACATGTAGGAATAATGTCAAATGTTTGCGTTACAAAAGGACAAGTAAATGTTGGCTTTGCAACAGTACATGTCAAATGTTGGCTTTACAAAGGGATGTCAAATGCTGGATTTACCAAGGCAGAATTCAAATGTTTACTTTACAAAAGAACTGGTAAAATATTTGCTTTATATATTTACATGTACATAAAACTCAGGGGGTAAGTTTAGTTTACAAAGATACAAGCCAACCATGTGCTTTACAAAGGGTTAAGTTAAGGATTTAGGAGAAGAACTTTATAAGATTTCATATCTTTCATTCTAATCCATTTCAAAATTGTATATATTGAATGCATGTATTTTATGTACTGTGTATGATTATGAATAAAATGCTTATAAACTAAACTAGAGGGTAAAGTTAAGCATAAGCTTTTCAAAAGGGTTAGTTAACTGTTTGCATATGTATAGCAGAAAGTTAAAGCTATCCTACTGAACTTGAATAATGGACTTGCCCTGCTTTGACTTTGGAACAGTCTATTCATAGTGTCAGGGATTTCAATGTCAAAGATCAAGCAGCAAACAGTATAGGCTATACTGGTAGCATAGGTCAATTACTATCTCCACTAGCACTCAAAGAAGTTGTGAATTGATTTTTGTAGTAAATTTATATAACACTTACCCACACAGCAGCACCTTTTCTTTTGTTTAATACTTTATAATTCAGTCCAGATTTATCTGAAGAAAAAAGATAAATCAGAACAACCTATGAAGGATTTGGAAAATGTTTCATAAATCATAAACAAAGAGGCAAACGCATTAACCATTTAAAAAAAAATATTCATGGACAAACATACAAACAATTTGAAAATGTTTCGTGGACTTATTTTGCAGTTTCAACAGTCATTCTACACAAAGACCTACACATATGGTAGGCTATTGATAAATTAAAAATTTATGTCAATTCCCAGATTCAAAATTCATTGTGGAATTTTCCACAAACCATGCTTAACATTTAACAGCATCATTTTTTTCAAAGAAGGGTCAATTTCATGAAAACATTCATTTGACCCATTCTGTAATTGTTGTGGTTAAAATTCACAAGGGTACTTTAAATAAAAATTGTTTGAATCATCTTAATTTTTGATAATTTTACTATTTTCCAAGTTCATTGAAATAGGATGACTTTCATACTTACATTCTCACTAAATAAAAAAAATCTTAATTGAAAAACCTTTTGAATGAATTAAATTTTAATGACATGCCTTATTTGAAGTTATAGTAAAGTTGAATTTAGGGCATTTTAGCATCTGATATACATGTATTAAGTTATAATCCACTAAGGCCACTGACCACAGATAACAGCACAGAGTCCATCCAAGGCATCCACTTCTCTCATGAGATGACCTTTACCAATACCTCCAAACGATGGATTGCAAGACATCTCACCTATAATGTAATTACAATTATTATCTTACATGTATTATTATGACAGCTTGCAATCTAGAAATTATTTGATTATAAAATGTATGTATTGTGAAGCAAACGTAGTCAGCAAAACAGATCCCGTAGATTAAAGAATGAAGATGCTTTCAAAAATTTTGATGTCAAAATCCAGTTACACTGTAGCAATTTAGGTTGCACATTAATATTACTGATTAGCTGTTAGCAATAGAGCATAAAGGGGCAATACTTCCTCGAGTGATCTGATGATTCAACATCCTGAGCATTATTACTTGGTATGTTTTTTTTTACATAATATTTCTACTCTATTCAAACTTCTATGCTGAATCTAACTGATGATACAATGTGAGCAAACATCTGAATTAAATGCCTTGAGAAAGTGCTAAAACACCTGTATTTCATTTTTATTTTCTTCTATCTATTTAGCTTTTTCCATAACTCGGCTTCTAATTCGTAAATACTAACATATTAAAAATGTCAATTTTATTTAATCATATATATATACAGCATGATATCTAGTTAAGTACAAAATTGACAAACAAAACCTATAGTTTCTTTCTTGTGGGTAACTAGTAAAGTGTTTCTGCCCATCCTTGCAGCTGCCCCTGCAGCCTCCACTCCTGCATGTCCAGCTCCCACAACTATTACGTCATACTCTGGCACAGATGTTGAGGATGAGGTTACAGACTCCACACTGTATTTACGACCGATTCTTTTCCTCAAGCAAACACTCGACAACGACTTATGAAGTTTAATAAGTTTCCTATAGTTTACCAACATCATTTTGATATCCGAATATTAATTATCCGAAACAGCTATACCTTGACAAACTATACAAACATACATTTAAAGGTGATATAATGATAAAAGCCTTATTAAACATATAAATAAAACAACTGTTTCATTTTTGTAGCAAATATGCTATGTTTTATGTCTCAAAAATATAAATATAAAGAAAATTCCAACATGTTTAACTTTCCCGATATTTTTAAACGGTGTTACAGTAAATTATTCAATCGTTACCGTACAGAATTTGTACCGACTTTGAAATAGTCTGAAAAAGTACAAGCTGACCTTTGGGCCCGGACTATTTTAGACTCCTGATGCATGATTCATATCACTTTAGTATAGGTCTATGAGGCACTGATACAAGCCAAAAACTTAATCTCTATGACATTTGACAAAGATTTTTTTTGCATTCTCTAAGTTATAACCCACTAACCAACTGATCACAGATGACCGCACAGTCCATCCAAGGCATCCACTTCTCTCATTAGATAACCTTCACCAATAACTCCAAAGACTGATTACAAATTTATCTAACATGTGTTTGACAGCTTTCTTCTAGCAATTATTTGAGTATAAAATTGTGAATCAAATGTAAAGTCAGATCCATAAGAATAAAGAATGAAGATGGTAAGTTAAATCCACAAGTGAAAAAGGCAGCGATACCAGCCCAAAACTTAATCTCTATTACATATGGTTATTTGTAGTATATTATAATTATATACATATGTATATATACTGTCTAAAATGGATATAGACATAGGTGCCTATACCAGGAGATTATCCTGGGACAGACCCCGAGGTCTGGAAACTCCCTACAATGAATTGCTGATTATGACAGAGAGGTCGGGATAAGTAATTTATATTACTGTATAAAATATAGTCATAAGGGTCTATATTCCAGGAGATTACCTGTAGATTCACACAAGAATGTTTCAAATAGTTTTTCCTATATAGCTATTCATAAAGTAACTGAATATAAAGGACAGGGCTATGAATTATTGAAATTGTGTAGAGGGCCATATGTTAATGCTGCATTATAAATAGTTATTCTCTGGACGTAGTACAATGTAGTTTCTGAAATTTGTCATATTTAAGGTATAATTTACACGTGGCTTACATACAATTCAATATAATAAACATTGTCCCTGTACATTGAATATTATGATAAGAAAGTGATTGTCTAACTCTGCTGAATGAAGAAAGTCTTAAGTGTATCTCTGAGCCCAATTTTTAAGCATATGAAGGCATGAACCCATGTAAAACCACATGCTTGATGCAAGCTAGTTGAAGATCTACATCTATTTAACAAATGAAAAGGACTTGAAGGAGACGAATTGGTCATAAGAGTAAAACGATGTTCTTCTTTTAGTCCCCTACCGGTTTACCGGAGGGGACTTTAGGTTTACCCTCCGTCCGTCTGTCCGTTCGTCATTCCGTCCGTCCGTCTGTCCGTACAAACCAGAGCTACATATGGGGGTTTGGTCTATTGTTCTCATAACAATAGATGTCATTGATGTCATTCATTCCGTTTCTCTTGTGGGGTTATTTTCTGCATTGTGGAGTTAAAAAGAACAAAAGAAATAACAAAAGAAACCCCCATAATGTAGCTCTGGTAAGAATGTCCGTCCGTCAGTCCATCCGTCCACAAAACTAGATCCCGCGATAACGCAAAAAGTAATGAAAATATTTTTCTGAAACTTGATATATGGATAGATGGCGGTATGGAGATTATGCACATCTTTTTCTTTTCTTCCTATGTTGAAAATTTTAGTTGCTATGGCAACAAATAAACTGAAAATATGGCAAATTTTACACATAACCTTGATCCAGTGATAACGCAAAAAGTAATGAAAATATTTTTATGAAACTTGATATATGGATAGATGGCAGACTGGAGATTATGCACGTCTTTTTCTTTTCTTCCTATGTTGAAAATTCTGGTTGCTATGGCAACAAATAGACTGAAAATATGGCAAATTTTACACATAACCTGGATCCAGTGATAATGCAAAAAGTACTGAAAATATTTTTTATGAAACTTAAAATATGGTCAGATGGCAGACTGGAGATTATGCACATCCTTTTCCTTTCTTTCTATGTTGAAAATTCTGGTTACTATGGCAACAAATAGACTGAATTTCAAGATTATTGATTCTAGTTTTTACGTTTTATCACTATAAGTTCTTTATTTCTTAAGGTATTTTCTTCAAACTTTAAATATAAGTTTCTAGTCATCAACCACATCATATGTGACAAGGTTTACAACTCAACTTACAAATTTATCAGAATTTCCTCCCTTGATCTTAAAATTTTCATGAAAAAATATTGTTTTTTTAATAACTTCTTTTTTTCTGAATGTATCTACTTCAAACTTCATATATATGTTTCTTATTATCATTCAGCATTTGTGAGAAAGTTCAATACTCTAGCAAAACTATTTCCAGAATTATGCCCCTTTTGAACTTAGACTTTTTTCGAGAAATTGGTAATTTTTACTCCAACTGCTTCAATCATTATAGGATTTTCTTCTAACTCCCACATCATGATAATATGACAAGGTTTATAAATCTAGCATCCATATTTCCAGAATAATCTTCTCCTAAAACTTTGAATTTTTCTTATTTGTTCTTTTAACTTTCTTTTACTTCAAATTCAAAATAAACATTCATTATCAATACCTTCATTACTAATTGTTCTTTGTTACACTCACCTCATGTATGACGTCTTGCATCTTTATTTCAAGAGATATCTCCTTTTTAAGAATTTTGCTTTTAAAAAGGTTATATTTTAATCACAGGGATGTTTAGAAAAATAACTTTAGAGTGTCCTTCAGTCCGTCCGTCTGTCTGTACATAAAAACTGTTTCCTGTGATCACTTTTAAAGAACTTTTTCAACAAATTTACTTAAAATAGAAACATAAGTGAATGGCCAATGGCCCTTCAGAATGTTGCTGGGGTCCTATCCGGTAGGGGACTTATGGATTGCTTGCAATACTATGATAATTGCTTGTTAATTTTGGCTTACGGTCCATATCAACAATTAATAAATTTACAAGCATATACATTACAAACATGACATGATGTAGTTATAGAAACACCAATTCTATGTAAAAAGTTGTAAGCGTGGCATTTGGATATGTAGGTCCCTCTAGTGTAAGGGTTCAAGACACCATTTGCATGGCTTCAAGTGTTCACATTTGAGCAAAGGTGAGTCAAGATTTAGTAGCACAATTAATTTACGAGACTTTAATGGAGGGTTATACCCCATGTGATATACTATGATAAACACGCTAATAAAATGAATATGCAATCTAATAAGTGTTTACCTATGCTATTATACAACTTACTATGTGATTACTATTATTATTGCAGTCTGCTGATTTACATACATTGATAATTGTGTATAATAAATTTAATAATTATATTTCATTGTTTTATTTCAGGGTTGCATGCTTTGAAATTGATCTCTTAAAAAATCTCAATGTCCGCCTCATACTTGAAATATTTTTTATGGATTTACCAAGTGTACCTATCAATGAAGAAAAAGGGAAAAAGATCCCTAAAGAAACACAGTCCATTTCTTCATCATCACGATCTACTTCCTGTTCTTCTTCATGCTAATTGTATGGCATAACGTGTGGTATATCTCATATCAAAACCATTTCAAGTTTATTTACTAAATTTGGAAAACTTAGACATAAATGTGGTGTAAAATCTCTGAATACCATTTTTGCAGAAGTATTAAAAAACTGTCAAATTCTCATACAACAAGAATTTTATCGAGACAGAAAGATAATAGTGGTTATTATTTTTGCTATAATTAAGACAATTGTATGTGCATGTTACGTGTTTTCTTTTATTCTTGGTCTATTCTAACTACATGTATACAAGAGAGTATCTTAAGAGATTTTGTTTATGAAGATGAATTTATTTGGAATATTGTATGTTCTAGGATAGCACTGACTTACGGTTCACATTTCTACCGAATAACAGTATAATACTAAATATTTTACAATTTAAGTACAAATTTATGAACAAAAAATAGTTAATGCAACTTTCAGACAATGCTTTTGTGTTCTAAACAAATGAAGGTGAGCTATGTTTGGTGATTTATCATAAAGTGCAAAGAATGTTTGACTGGTTAATATTACTTTCTTTAAAATCAATCCATTTAAATAAGTGATCCATTGTATCACTTTATCTTTATAGTAAAATAATATTTTAATCCCTCTGACGTTTCTTTTTAATCAACAAAGTTACTAACCTTAATATATTACATTGAAACACGGATTTATATTACGTTATATTGCATTTATATAGGGTTAACTGGGAGTGTCCGATCCCTGTAATATAAATCTGTGGTTGAAATAAATCAAACATTTAAACTATTTATTTATTTTTCAACAATTACAAAGTTGTTTATCAGTAATAATGACATTGTTTTGACGTTTGTTATTGCGTAATAACTGTGAAATGAAAAATTAAATCAAATTTGATATTGATGTGTGTCGCAAAAATGCGGAATGAGGGGTGAAGTGTTTTACCGATTTTGGGGATAAATCTTCAAAGTCTTATTTGTTATATTATGAGTCAACATATTCATAAATTAAGTTTTGTTTTATTTTTTTGCATTTATATTTATTTTGTTTTACTTTTTTGCAGTTATTTCCTTTCAACTATGTAGATGAAATATGATTAGCCAGGAGAGTGCCAAGCATCTAAATTTGTAAAATATAGAGATACGGTATGAGACGGATTTTCTTATAGGTTTTTCTCATGTATTCTCGCGAGAAAATGTCACAGTCGCGTGATCCAATATGGTGACCTCAGGAATAATTTTGCAATGTTTATTTTAGAAATTTCAGTGTAATTTAGTGTAATTAACAATGTAAACTCTGATCATGGGTGGAAAAGATTCAAAATTATCGTATATTAGCCAGGAGGAGGCTTTAAAAAGAGGTATATAGTGACAAACTAATTGTACAAAGCTTTTTCTTGTAAATTCGTTAAAACTTCCTGAAAATTATCTTTTTTTTATTATCAAAATGATAAAAACGATCTTTCGAAAGTGTAACTGTACGTTTTTCATAATTTCGTTTCACAGTCATTAATAAAAATAAATATATATATCATTGCATTTATCAAACAATTCATAGAAGAAAATAGCCTTGCTGATATTTAAAAAAAAAAAAATAATTGCAATTTGAATCAAGTGTAAGTGTAACATACCCCAGATGATAAACAATACTAACACACTTTCTGATTTGGCTACTGCCCCCACACTCCTACTTTAATACATGCTTTTTTTCAAAGCTACAACACAATTCAGAATAGTACACTACTTCATTTACTTTAAAAACAGAATAAAAGCATAGTAACAAAATTGCATGCACACTTGGGTCTGCTAACCTAGTTTTTATAAGATTATAATATGAAAAGGCAAAGCCTCAAAGCGAGCTCGATTTTCTTTTACCTTATAAGCGTTCATTTTTATTTTACATTTTCCGTATTAATTTTGTCATTCGTTATTTTACACACTGCTTCTGTTTATTCTGGTTCCTCCTTTCTATTATGGTTCCCATATAAGTGCGCTGGACACCAGTCTACGCTTCCATTTTCAATCAGAGTACATCGGCTTGTATCGTTATCTTGTAATTCGAAAAGTTGCGATGTGTCAATACAGTACTTCGGACAAGTTTTCAAAACCATCACCTAGCAGGTACTCGCGTTACCGTAAAGCTCTCTTTGCTAGCAGGCCCTTTGGGCCCACTCGTCCAGCTTGCTAATAATATTTCTATCCAAGTAATAAATGGATTCTCAGCTCTCTCAGAAACGCATATTTGAGCGTATGTTAACTTTTTATGCACATTTTCTGCAGATGGACACTAGAAAAATCAGATCATCAGTCCCTTGTAGTTGTAAACACAAAAATCTGCGTGTCATTGTGTCTTTAAACTATGCAATATCTAGCTGCTACTGTGTAAGATTTAAGGCGGGCCTCTATGCTAGTCAACCGTTATGCGTCCACAGCCAATCAAAATGCCAGTTTTTCTGATAATCTAATTGATTGCAGCTAAAGTCGCCAGTGATTTTTCTCATTTAATTGGGAAGAGGCCTTATCCTCTTGATTTTGGGAAAACTTATCGCTAAAATTTTTGATTTGGGAAGTAAAAAAGCTGGTTTAAGTTAAGATTTTTGGGAAAACTGCATGATTTAAAAGAAAATTTCAATTGGGAAGAGGCCTTTTTTCGGAGTCTGTTATATAAGTAGGAAAATCACTGGTCGCATACATGTTGTTTTTAATTTTTCTCAAGCGACAAACACGGCATAGTCAATTAGTGATTTTATTGACCCTATGATAGAGCTGTCATCGATAGAGAGGATATCGATGTATCGTTGATATTTTTCTGTCGATCAATTATCGATACACATTTGTAAAAATCGATCATTTTTTTTCTATGAATAATGAAAATTCGACCAAAACATAAACAAAAGCAGGTGGCAATGTCTAACACCAAGCTGTTGTAACATAATGGACACATTTCATCGCAGTGATGACAAAAAATGGTTAGGAATAAGTCCCACAAAGGACATTTATAAACACAACATATTTGTATGAACAGAAAAATTATATTTTACTAGGAATGAACGTTAATTATATACAAGAATTAAGAACTATATACCGGTGTATCGCTGATATTTGTCATCCAATATTGATGTATCGTCAATATGCTTTACTATGAATCAATGACAGCTCTACCCTTTGAAGTCATAAATGTCAATTTGTAATATTTGACTGTTTGATGGGATACTTGTTGGAGACCTGTGCACCCACTTTTCACAGATGTATAGCTTATGCTACTCGAGTTTTATTTGCCATTAGTTAATTTAACAACGGATGGATTTACCGATATAAATATTGATTATAAGATCGTAAACATGCAAATTGTTGTAGAAATATTAAATGGACAATTTCGGATCGCCCATATTCAATTTATTCAAAAGTAAAGAAAAGTTTACGATGACATAATAACATATCTGCCGAAGATATAGTTTACAATACAAATTTAAAATTAATTGCTTATACGTGTATGTGTTCAGAGAGCTGTCATTGAATAAATTTTTGATCAAGATATCTATCAAAATATTTATTCTAATGATTTTTTGAAGAACTGAAAGATGTTTTCTGATTGTAACTGATTTTGAATCAATTCAAACTAGCAACAGTTATACCGATAAATTTGTTAAAAATTGATTCCGTGCTAAAAATGACAGTTGAAATTAGGTTGTAACGGTTTGACAGTAGGAAAAAACAGTTACTTAAATGGTCAACCCATCAACGGTTAATTAGTAAGGCTAATGAAATTATTGTTCAATTTGCATTGACTTTTTCAATTAAAAATATACATCAAACATTAATTATAAAATAATGTTCATCACACATTTATATCATGGTGATTTACAAGTTTCTTTGAGGAATATTTTTGACACATCTTTTTAAAAGCACTCCACTAAGTTTTTTTAACATGACAGAATTGGAAATATTTTTCTGAGATTTTTGTACTATTTAATGTAGATCTGGACAAATAACTTGTGTGCACATTTTTCCCACTCCCCATTTTTCCAAAATCTTCATTTTCATTGAGTAAAATGACCCAAAAATGAAAAGCATTGTAATGCTTTTCACCCAAACCAGACTAAGAAGCACACAAAAAATCCATTTTCAATTTAATTCTGGGCATATTTTTTTATTACTCTTTTCAGATTTTTCCATTTAAAGTGCTTCACATAATGTAAGAATTTCAGATTTTATATTTTAGGCTTTTTGACCTCAGTGCAGCTCCTTTAAAACTACTTAATCAGAAGGTCCTTTGTTTTACATAATAGTACAACAGTCCAAACATCAGCAAAATAAATTATGGATGTTTCGACAGCCTGTCATTTTGTCAAACTGTCAGAATGTTCAATTTTAAATGGGTAGTTGCAGTTTTTGTTAACATTTTTTTATAACTACTTTATTATTAAATTGAAAAATTACAATGCTCAGAATCATTGTAAACCTACTGGAAAAACATGTAGTTTTCAAACTTGTGTATTGTTAACTTAGAATCATTTTATGCTTTTCAGATGTAATTCATTAGTAATAAGTAACAGAAGTTTGTATTTATTTTGCAATAGCAATCAGTGCCAATCATTTAGGTAATGGTACAATATTTACTCAAGAAAGTAACCAGGGAAAACTAAGAAAGTAAAATGAAGTCTTAATTTTGAAACTTATAAATGTACATTTTAGATGAAATGCGCAGGTCAATTATGAATTTGGTCATGGTTCGATGATTTTTGGCAGAGGTACATGTATGCCCCTTTCACTTTGAAAATAATATGAATTTATTTTCTGTTTCCGTTCATTATCCCTCCAACTGTATTACACATTCAACTCAAATTCAAATACGGATATGATATAAGAATACACTGGTCAAGTTCGAATTTGGTCATTGTTTGATGATAGCTGACAGAGGTACATGTATGCCTCTTGAACTTTGAGAAAAATCAGAAAATTTTTGTTTCCTTCATTATCTCACCAATGGTTGTACACTTTCAACTCAAATTTGACATATAGACTGATACATCTTAGGAATAAGCAGAACAAGATTGAATTTGGTCGTGGTGCAATGATTTTGGACAAAGTTATCTCTCTTGAAAGTTGGAAAAGTTTGAATTTTCAGTTTCAGCACTCATACTTTTGTGGAAATGTATGTAGTCATTATTTTGGCTACAAATATGCAATAAGCAATTTTCAAAAGATTAACACTGAATAGTGTCAGTGCCTAGTACTTTGTATAAAAATGGATTGTGTTAACATTGAATAGTTTTAAGGGCCTTGAACTTTAAACGAAAAAAATAGTTTGTGCAAACAAATTTGGAACTAAATATTATAACATATGAAATTTTGGCTGCATGCGGGGTCATCCGTGGCGTGACAACACATTTCTGGTTTTAATATGAAGTGCAGAAATTAAATCAACTCTCAGTACTTCCCTTGTAGAATTAGAATTTAACCACTTTGCAGAAGGAAATACTTCATCCTTACCTAGATTAATGGCTAAAATTCTCAGACCAGACAAAACAATATGTTATTATAAGTTAGTGAATATATATAATAAGATATTTATTAATTTTCATGAACTTTTTGAGGAAGGTCTTGATAAATAATGAGTGTTTAAAATTTCAGATAATTTAAATCTTTCATTATTTCAGTGAAAAATGACCAAAAATAGAAAAGTGTTTAAAAGCTTTTAGTCCAAAACGGATTAAATAAGAGTTTTACAAAAATTTGTTTTCCATTTCATTTTGAGTATATTTCTTTATTAATTTTTGAATGTCTTTCCATTTGAAGCCCCAGTTGATCTAAATAAAATTAAATCTGAATTAAAATGTATGAAAGAAAAATAAATTCAGATTTTATGTTTATATTTGTGGACCTCAGTGGATTTCCTTTAATTTATTGTCTAAAAATCTTGATAAATTCTTCAAGATTTTCTGACTTTGTTTCAGTGACAGATGCTGAGTTGAAGAGACTTAAAGATGCATTTAAGAGAGTTTCTACCCTTAGTGGATTTATGACAGAGACTGTGTTTATGAGGGAAGTTCTATGGGATGGAGTACCAACAAAGATTGCCCAGGTGTGATATTTATAATGATATATACCTGATATAAGTTGTTACAAGTTTTCTGTTTCTGTTTGATCCGCACCTACATTAAGTCTTGACAATCATGACATACATAGAGGATATTGAATGAGTGTCAGTTTAATACTGAATTTATTTAACGAGTTGAATAAAATGATATTATGTAAACCTCTGGCGAGCATAATATTATTTAATTTGACGAGTTCAATAAATTCAGTAATGAACTTACACGAATTTAATATTCTATTATCACATAACAAAAATAACGACCGTTTGAAGTGAAAAAAGCCATTTTTATTGACGCGCCTATAACTCTAATATTTTAACGCTATGTTTGTATAACGCAAATGACGTCACATCAAAATATATATATGCAGCGCAGTGCAATACCATTTTTACGGAGTCGCAAAATCGGCACGGGTATGTGATGAAGTATTTTTGACAAGGGTTTCTTTATTAAACTCTTGAATTTAAACTCTATTTGAGATCCCTGATCTTGAGTCATTATGCTTTAAAATGATTTTTATTTTGGATGCATGAATAGTTTTAAATGGTGTAAAGCAATATTTGGCTGTTTTTCCTGGCTGTAGAATAATTGTTTGCACCTTTATACATGTACATGTATAAGAACCATACTGAAGAACCGAAATGGTAAAAATAATATTTGTAAATTTCCAAATAACCAAGTGATGGATGTGAAAACTCATCATTGAAGATATTGATTGCAATTTTTGAAATAATATGTAATTTTGTGTTTTTAGTTGCTTTTTAAAGCATTTGGAGGGAACTCCAAGGGATTGTCATTTAAGGAGTTGCTTGCTGGAATGGTTGTCCTTACAAAGGGCACAAAAGAAGAGAAAATCAAATGTAAGTATGAATTATATACATTATAAATAGATCTATACTGCCTTTTGAACCCAAGCCCAATTACCCTTAACCCATCATTAATCTATCATCTTGATTAGGTATGCAAGGTATTAATTATAAAAGTATATAAATGTTTTTATGGAGAACTGATTTTTTTAGCTGTTAACTGGTCCTCTTTCTTATTCAATGAAATATCTGTTAATAAAACTCATTTTACTTAATTTTTGGAGAAATATTCTTCAGCAAAACAGATGTACCTTAGTTGGATAATAGTGTAAAATATGTGATCAGATAAGGACAATATGACAATATTACTAATACCAAAAAAGCTCAGTAAAGAGCCAGGCCAGTCACATCTGTGCAGTCTGACCAGGCTCTAAACTGTTGGTAGCTCGGGTTTGAGTCAAATGAACTGTCTCAAAGTCAAAGGAATGCAAACCATTACTCAAATCCAAACAGGTTAAAGGCTTAGCTAGATAAAAAATACTATTAATTAAACAATGAAACAATAGGAGATAACCTGTTACTGCACTAAGATGACAGTGAATGCCATTATGTAAATATTCAACACTTATGGGAACCTTTTAAAAAGTATTGTTTATTCTTATTTTGAAAAAAAAAATCTATTGTTGAAGAAAATTGAAATATTTTACTTATTTTTATGCAAAATTGTTGCAATAATTATTTTAAACTTGTACATTGTATTATACATTGTAAGTTTTATATAATAAAAGTTTTTTAGCTCACACCAATATTTCTATATACATGTACAAATTTGCTATTTAACATTATGGTTGTATGTCATGGATATTTACCCAATTGAGTTTTTTAAAATCCATGGGGTCAAGGTCACTGACACTCACATTATTATAACATTATTTTCCTGCTAGCATTATTATCAACTCATTATTGACATCTTTCCCAAGGGTGTCAGTGGCCGAATGGTTAAGGTCGTTGATTTCAAACCACTTGCCCCTTACTCCTGTGGGTTTGAAACCCACCAGGGACTTATGATTCTTTCAGGTGAAGAAGTTATCCAGCTAGCTTACAGAACATCAGTGGTTCTACTCAGGTGCCTGTTTGTGCAGCCTTAAATAATATATGGAGGGGCATCTGAGGTCCTACTCCACCAGTTAAGCTACAACCTTTACAGTGTAGGTGCAACGTTAAACCCAACTTTCGCTACGCATTTGACTATGATTTATTTGTTTTAATCAGCATTGAGTATTAAGGGGTCACTGCAGTAACCAATATTCTTGTTATTATCAACTCAACCTAATTGTTAAAGTTGACACATAATTTTGATATCTAGATAAAAAGACAGGTGTTGAATAACAAGAAAAACATACATGATATGAAAGTAAAACCTTATGAGGGACAGTTGACTTCCCTACTTATTGTAAAATAGACTTGCCTTTCTTTGAATTTAGAACTATCCGTTATCTGTACATCTTTAAACTATGTTCTGGTTTAGATTAAACATATTTATTTAAGCTCGAATGCGAAACAAGTTCTTGCAACTTATATTCATCACTTTCCAGTCCACTTCCTGCAACCAACCAGTACTGGTGTCATTTGAAGAAACATGGTCGTGACGCAATTAGGGCTCGAACCCATGATCTTTTTTTTTGACCAGGCTCTGCTTTCAACCCTTTTGTGTGAATTTTTGTAATGGACTTGCCCAATTTGAATTTGGAACAGTCCATTCAAAGTAAAAAGAAATTTAGATATCAGAATATAAAAGTTTAACTACAAACTGTATAGAGTCTGGTCGTGCAAGCTGGCTTGGTTCTATTATGTATAATGGTGGCTTAAGCTAATCATTTCAATGCCATCATATTAATGGTTTAATATTTTGATATTCATATTTATTGAAATTTCTTCAGCTTTAGTACTGAATTGCTGCAATTATTATTGAAAAAAAAAATAGCAGCAATACTACAATGTTCTTTACAATTGCTGCAAAAACTGTCAATGATAAATCTACAAATAGATTCTGATACCTATTTCTGTTTTGTTGTTTGTATAATTAATGTTTACAATTTGCACTGTGGTTACTTGTTGTTTGAACAATTTTGAATTATTAATTTGTTCATGATACAGTGGGATGACTGATGTACATGTAATTGAAATCCCAAATTTAAAGGCAAGGCAAGTCTCACCAAGCTTATTACAAAAAATCCAGGCTAATGCAGTGTGAAGAAGTCTCACAGTTTACCTGATTAGTGTGTGTGAAATACATAGTTGACATTTGAAAAACAAATTAATCAGCTATTTAGTGGCAAATATAGAGTCGGCTATTGATTAAACAGCAGGCATAAGGCTCGGAAATAGCTCTACAACTCATCCCTGTCCGTACTGAATCCAATAGTCAATATTCACAGTAGATGAACTTTGCTGCCATTAATTAATATGGTAATCTGTTGATAATGTGACTGATCAAAGTTATAAGTCTGTGCACAGAGATTGTGATGTCAGTATTCGTACAGGAAAAAATGGGTAAAACCCATCTCGATTTTTTAATTGCCAGTATTCGGTGTCAGGTTTTCAGGGCTTATGCAGAGGTAGTTGAGGTGTGTGTCCAGAAAGGCAAAAAGTGGTCACAGTTTTATTTTTCCTTCATTTCTATATGGTTACCACTTTTATTAAGTAGTCTTATTTTAACAATGCAAAATATCACTTAAGAATAGCAAAGTTGGGGCGTCAGGACTCTAAAGTTGAGGGTCCTTTGTGATTTCCTTCAAGTCCTGACCACAAGCCTCAGTTGTCTGTGTTGTTTAAAGTTAACTGTTATATAATATACATGTATTGACAAATGTCAAGGCCATTCATAATGATTTGTACCATTTTCCCTCGCTACATGTACCGGTATATGGTAATTCATGAGTAGAAGTTGTTATTTTATTGTGGAATAGAAACTGGTACTTGTGGAAAGGATTTAAAGAACATTCTGTCACTTTAGCTGTGAAAATACTGAATGTACTATTTGATGTCTTACAAAAAGAAATTAAATCAATTATATTTCCAAGATACTTGATTGTCTTAGGTTTTACCACTGTACATTTTGCAAGCGCACTTTTCCGCAACATTTAATTGCAGCACAAATGTGAAATTAGCATTTTGTCTGTCTGCAAATTCCAATAGGGATTAGAAAACAGGGTTAATAGTCTGTGAGGAAGGTATTTGTAATCCTTAGTGCAGCATGTTTTCATCACAATGGTTTAGCAGAAGATAATGCCTTCTGTGTTATTAATTCTTCACTTCTGATTAATGTGGAGAAATTGTTGGTTTCATGCTGAGATCATAATTATACTGGAAAATACTCTTTGAACATTCCCAGCAATGAAAATTTAAGGAATGGAATCTGTCTAAATGCAAGTTTTCTATTTGCAAATTTTTGTTAATTAATCAAGAAAAGAAATGTATTTTACTATACAAGCTGACAACATTCCCGGGCTCCTATGGCAAGAAATTGATCCTGAAATGAATTCGGCTTTTATCATATATGATAATGTGAAGGAGAAGTGCATTATGTATTTAGATATTTTCTGAAAAACAGAAAATATCAAGTCAAACTAGCAAAGTATGTATAGTGACTACATGGCAAGAACTTTTTCTGTGAAAAGAAGCCATTGTGGATATCAACAACAATGGGTCAACTTTACCATATTACTCTATTACAAGACAGGGTTGTGTTTGTTCAATTCAGACATGTTTTTATCTTCTTCATAATTATATTTACTCCAGAATTAGGAATAAGTTTGGTTTTTCCTCTCAAATTATAGGGTACAAACATTTACATTTCCAGCTTTCAAAATAAGTGCCGGTTGAATGATAAATTGTAAACAGTAGTGCACCATGAAGCTATAAGCAGATTAATCATTATGAAAGTCCATGTAAAAAATGTTACATTCAGTCATATGTGTGGCCTGTCTAGTGGATGAGAAGATAAGGTAAATTGACAATGCCAAACAAACTTAAAATATATTCAAAAATGTACAATGATTATGACATTTTGCAATATATATATTTATTATTGTAAAAGTACAAAGGTGCTCTTTAGAAAATGTGCATGATAATAATATGATTAAATTGCATGACTAATACTGGAGTAAAATTTCCTTCCAATTAATATTTAAAAGAGCTGCGCCATGGCAAAACCAACATTATGCATTTAAATTATTACGCAATTACATGCATAACCTTCAGAATTTTTCTTAATTTGATGATTGATCATTCAAATTTTGAGCATGTTCAAGTATTATTACTGTTTGATTTTTCAAAAATATTTTTTTCTGTTGAATTTATTAAATTAATTTTACAACTAGCCACTGCCAGTATTAATATATTAGCAATTAAAGGGACCTTGCCTGATGATTTTAAGATCTTTTTATCGGAGTAATAGGATTATAATTGTATGAAAACTGGCAACCCGGGAAAATGGTCATTTGCAAATGCTGCCTTATAAGCTCAGGATTTATGTTTTATATATTAAAATCCCTCTAACTTTGAATGGACTATTCCAAATATAGGCTAGCATGGCTATACTGGTGGCAAAGGCCAGTCACTTTAATGTGGTTCCAGCAGATTAAACTTTAGAGAAAAAAAAGAAAGAAATAAAGGTGGAATTTGTTTATGAGAAAACTTTTTAGACCCTTATAGCACCTAAAAAGTCTTAGAGCTGAACTGTGACCTTGGCTACAATGTTTATAACCCCTGAATCTGAAATGGTTTCAGTGAGTCGAGTCTGGGATTATAATTTTTATCATCATGTCACATTAATATTTTTGCATTTGATAAAAAGGTCACTTTAATTTATATCATGATATTGACTGTAAGTTTGATAGTAACTATGATGGATTTAGTAACTTGGTTATAATATGACATACATGTATTAGTATACAAACTATGGTCACACTATAAGTGTATTATACTATACAATCCATGGTCCGTCTGTAATTAAATTCTGATTGGTTGATTTTAGATGTTAAATCTTTAAT